TGTCATCCTTACCTATTCGTTTTGGTGGTTTGGGTTTGTACTCGGCCTACGAGGTTTCCTCCTACGCATTTGTAGCCTCGAGGGCCCAATCTTGGGCCTCCTACGCATTTGTAGCCTCGAGGGCCCAATCTTGGGCATTACAAGACCACATCTTACGTGACAGTGGCATATGTGGTATGGACTCAGATTATCTATGTGCTATGACTCGTCTCCGTGATACGATTCCGGGATTTGGCAGTAGCGGTTTCACTAATAAGGACACCGCCCCCTAAATCCCAAAAAGTTTTGGCGTGTGCCCTTTTTAGCAAAATCGTCCAAGATATGGAAGTCAACTTCGAGATGACTGATAGATAGAAAGCAGTCTTTGAGTGTCTGCGGGCGCCTCATGCTCAAGATTTTCTGCTACCTATCCCTATTGATGGTCTTGGCCAGCATATGTCTCCTGTGAAGTACCGAACTATCCTTCGTTATCGCCTCATGATTCCCATATTCCCAATTGACGAGATATGCCCAGTTTGTCGCAAGGCATGTTTGGATACCTTTGGGGAACACGCGGTTCATTGTAGAGAGCTCCCTGGTTTCAAGTATAGACATGATGTGGTTCGGGATGTTCTCTTTGATGCTTGTCGGCGTGCTGGTATATCTGTGAAGAAAGAAGCGCCAATGAACTTTTTGACGGACCCGCAGGATGGCAAGTCCACACTTAGACCGGCTGACATTTTGGTCTTTGGATGATAGGAGGGAAGCATGCGTGCGTGGATCTTACTGGTGTATCTCCTCTCGTTGGTTTGGGGAGCGGAGGTTTCGCAGCTGGGCATGCCGCTTTGAAAGCCGCTGCGTGCAAAGTGGTAAAGCACGACAATGCATGTAGAGAAAATCAACATGTGTTTGTTCCTTTTGCATTCGATACATTTGGTTTTCTCGCACTAGAGGTGGAGCTCCTCAACAGAGTCCAACGGGTCATGCATTCTAATGTCATATCTCCTAGATCCACAAATGTTGTTTTCAAAAGAATAGGTTTTGCCATCCAAAAAGTGCTAGCGGCGCAGCTTGTTGCCCGTTTGCCTTGAATCGATATGTATTGATATTAAAGATAATTAGATTGTTATCATAATCATTAATCTATTTTATAAGTCAAAAAATATTTGACAAACTCAAAAGCACTTTTCAAAATAGCTTTTCCAAAAACTAATAACTCAAAAAAAATGTTTAGCAAACTCGTTTGGTTAAACCATTTAATTAATTTATAGACTATTTTGGTTATAAATTATTTAATATATTTTATTAATAATATTAAGATACATATACTTATTTTAGGCTAATATCATTTATGCAATTTTACATCTATTATCTAGCTTACTGCTGATTTTCTTGTTTTATTAAAGTCTGTGTGGCGGTTCACTGCATTCTTGATTCTAGAGCATTTTTGAACAAGTCAAAGGTTGTTTATCTTAAACATGATGGGTACATGATACATATTGGAACCTTATTGTCTAATATACCTTTGTTGTTGTTGGTGGTTGTGTAGTCATGCTCATTTTTGGATGATTGAAGATTGTTCAAGCGTTAAAGACAATTTTCAATTGACATATTCAACTAGTTTGCTTCAATGCAACCATTTTACCCTTGATGGTGTTTTTAGCATTTTGTTACATTTGTTTTTGTTTCTTTTGTGGTGCATATGGCAGAATTCTTATTCGAAATGATGTTGTTCGATGCTCGTCATTTCTTATGAATTCCTTACGTTTGCTACCATTGGGAGTTATGTTGCTTTGTGGCTCTTTTGCTATTAGGTCATGTTTTTGGTTTCCCTGGTTGTTGTTCTTTTTGGAGGGTTAATCAGCTGCTTGCTTACTTGTATTTTATTTATTTATTTGTTTATTATTATTTTTCTTTGTGTAGTTCCCTTTTAGTGTTGTCTCAATTGCTTTAGAGCCCTTGCTCCTTTACTTGATGCTTTTATATGGGAATATGACTTATCAAGGTAATTAACTTTTCGGTATGTTCACATCTGGGTAACTATCTTTTTTTTGTACATATGTAGGTAACAAACTTTTTGGAAGTGTTCACATATGACCATTATGACCTGCTATAGCAGGTTAAATCCTAGATGTGAACTCTCTCAACAAGTTTGTTACCTAGATGTGTACAAAAAAATAGTTACCCAAATATGAACAAAATGAAAATTAAAAATTAAATTACATGAATGGTCCCTGTGGTTTGGGGGAATTTGTGGTTTTGGTCCCTAATTTATTTTTTTAACTTAAATGGTCTCTACTATTTATTTTTGTTGCGCGTTTGGTCACCGTCTTACCTAAAAATACTATTGTGCCCTTATTAATTTATTTTTTTAATTAATTTTCTTATCTATGTATTTATTTTATACATATTTAAAAAAATTAATAGACCATACATATTTGTATCTCCTCGGATGATCTCTACTGTTTATTTTTAATTAATTAATTTTTTTTAACTTGGATGATTCTTACTGTTTATTTTTGTTACGCGTTTGGTCTCTGTCTTATCTAAAAATACTATTTTTCTCTTATTAATTTTTTAAATTAATTTTCTTATTTTTGTATTTATTTTTTATAAAACCTGAAATCACATTTGAGAAATTTAATATGAGTCTTACCATTAATCATCTCATCTCTGATCCTCCCCATCTTCTATTTCTTTTCCATCTTTAGTAACATCAACGTCTTCACCGTCCTTCTTTTTTTGGTACTTCAACTCTGGAGAACCAACACCATAACCTACTGTCTCTTCATATTTAGTGGGTTGTGGTGTTGTTTTGACGGAGTTGAAGGACCGAAAAAAGAAGTGATGATGAAGACATCGATATCACTAAAGATGAAAAATAAATAGAAGTTGAGAATGATGAAAGATGGGATGGTGAGGAGATACAGATATGTGAGGTCTACTAATTTTTCTTAAACATATAAAGCATAAGTACATAAACAAGAAAATTAATTAAAAAAATTAATAAGGGCACAATAGTCTTTTTAGGTAAGACAGAGACCAAGTTCGTAACAAAATTAAATAGTATGGACCATCCGAGTTAAAAAATTAAATTAATTAAAAAATAAATAGTAGGGATCATCCGAGGAGATACAAATATGTGTGGTATATTAATTTTTATAAATATGTAAAAAATAAACATAGATAAGAAAATTAATTAAAAAAAATAAATTAATAAGATCACAATAGTATTTTTAGGTAAGATGGGGACCAAACGCGCAACAAAAATAAACAATAAGAACCATTTAAGTTTAAAAAAATAACTTAGAGACCAAAACCACAAATTCCCCCAAACTATAGGGACCATTCATGTAATTTAATTTTTAGTTTTCGTTTTGTTCATATTTGGGTAACTATTTTTTTTGTACACATCTAGGTAACAAACTTGTTGAAAGCGTTTATATTTAGGATTTAACCTGCTATAACAAGTCATAACGGCCATATGTGAACACTCCCAAAAAGGTTTGTTACCTACATATGTACAAAAAAAAGTTAGTTACCCAGATGTAAACATACCGAAAAGTTAATTACCTTGATAAGTCATATTCCCCTTTTATATAGGCTATTTTGGTTGTATGTTCTCTTATTTTGTTGTACCTTTGCTAGCTTCCCAATAGTGTTTTTTTTTTTTTTTTTAATTTAGTTGCCGTTCAAAAAATTTGTTATCTAAATATATGAAATATTTTTAAAGCATGTTATTATTTTATTAGCTATTTTATCAACCATAAACTAATTTTACAATCAAACTAATTTTCAAATAAAAACTAGTTTTTCAATTAAAAATTAGCTTTTCAATTGTTTTTAGAGAAAATGACAAAAATAGTCATTTACACTAATTACATTACAAAAATAGCTAAAAGAAAAACCGAAGTTGCAAAAATAACCATGAATTTCGCAGATGGAATAGTCCCATCTGTGAAATGGGTTTTCCATCTGTGAATGTACAAACAGCTAAAGCACAACTGTGCTTTAGCTGCTTCTACATTCGCAGGTGGTTTATTATTATTTTTTTTTATTTTTTTCTCTCTATATATATTGAAATTGTAGGGTAAATTCGCAGATGGAATAGCTCCATGTGCGATTTACTCTGATTCCATCTGTGAAATTGTGGTTTTATTTTTAATTTTTTTTTAGTTTGACTATGAAATCAATTGGTTTATAGCTCGGTTATATCTAAACGTACATCACCAACATCAATATAATGCCCGTAAACATGTTTTTTTTTTTTTTCATTTTTTTGATTTGAATTTTTTTCTTTTTTGTTTTATCTACTACACGCCTATTCATAACTTTAACTTCTTATTCAGCAATATTATTTCGTAGTCAAACCAATTGATTTCATAGTCAAACTAAAAAAAAATTAAAAAAATTAAAAATAAACCGCAATTTCACAGATGGAATCAGAGTTAATCGCAGATGGGGCTATTCCATCTACGAATTTACCCTACAATTTCAATATATATAGAGAAAAAAAATAAAAAAATAAAATAAACCACCTGTGAATGTACAAGCAACTAAAGCACAGTTGTGCTTTAGCTGCTTGTACATTCGCAGATGGAAAGCCCATTTTACAGATAAGACTATTCCATCTGCAAAATTTATGGTTATTTTTGCAACTTCAGTTTTTTTTTTTGATTATTTTTATAATCTAATTAGTGTAAATAACTATTTTTATCATTTTCTCTTGTTTTTGACATTGTTAATATAAAATTTTAAAATTTATTCAAATTGTCGTTTTAAGAAAAACATTAGAGACATGAAAAATCTTTGAAGATAGACAGCGAATCACATTCCATGTTCTATCGTTAACCGGTATCTACAGTACACCACAAAACAGCTAAAACCGCAAACTCATCCAACCACCTTCAAAAGCCAGCGTGGAATGCACGTACAAATATCACAAACCACTCCAAGTTCATCGTGTACCACACGCGCTATAAATACGCGTGAGTGAAAATGATTATCTTTTAATTGGTCCACGTTGCACTCGCACAGCAAAATTGAGCTGCCAATCAACCGTCAGTTTCTCGAATTCCCAATTTGTCTTTTTTAGGGTAATCATTCATTCAATTCTGTGTACAACAATCGAGAAGTCAAAATCAATTTTGACCAGAAAAGAGAGGCAGAGAGAGTGATCGATCTTTTGGTTCAATCGATCTCTTTCTCTTGTAGTCTCTCACAGTCGCTATGGGTTTATGGGAAGCTTTTCTCAATTGGCTTCGAAGGTAATCATGTTTTCCTTTTCTCTCGATTAGTTCGTGTTTGAATTCGAATTCGAATGTTCGCCTTTTTCAGCTCTTTATCTGTTTGTTTGGTTTTGCTTTCTATTAGGGTTTTCGATTTCTTTATCATTTTATCTTCGAATTCATATGTATGTTCGATCTGCTTCGTGTTTCTTAATGGAATGTGGGATTTATGTGTTCAATTGTAGTCCCTGATTTTTCCGTTGTTACGAATTCATTGAATCTGTTTGTGTTCTTATTAGTGTATACTGTTTCACTTCAGCTTCAGTTCTTTAGTTCAATTCAATCAATTCGTCAATCAATCAGTCAATTGAATCTCCAATTTTGATTATTCATGGAGCCTCATATCTTCTCCTCCTCAATCTTCTAACCAAATCAACAGATTAGATACTATAACCTATTAACCAATAATCACTTCATTCATGTGTAATGCATATTTTTTTCTATACAATTGAAAAAAAAACTACTTATATCTTAATTACTTAATATTATAATTTACAGCCTCTTTTTCAAGCAAGAAATGGAGCTCTCTTTAATAGGCCTCCAAAACGCTGGAAAAACTTCACTTGTTAACGTTGTCGCCGTAAGTAAATTAAATCAAACCATTTATATATTTTCGCTAATTATATTAAATCATAATTCAAATAAAAAAAAAAAAAAAATCTCATTCTCTTACATCCTTTTCTTGCAGACTGGTGGATATAGTGAAGATATGATCCCAACAGTAATTCCTTTTTTTTTTAAGACTTCATTTCTACATTTATCTAAACACACATTTTAAATCCTAAATAACATTTTAATTTTTTTAATTTTTTTTTTCAGGTGGGATTTAATATGCGAAAAGTAACTAAAGGAAATGTAACAATCAAACTATGGGATCTTGGTGGACAACCTAGATTTCGTAGTATGTGGGAGAGATATTGTCGTGCAGTTTCTGCCATTGTGTAATTAATTCCTCAATCTTTTTTTTTTTTTTTTTTAATTATCCAAAAATAAAAAAAGTGACACGTGGCATATGTAGGTATGTTGTTGATGCAGCGGATCCTGATAACTTGAACATATCAAAGAGCGAACTTCATGATTTATTAAGCAAGTCGTCATTAAATGGAATCCCTTTGCTTGTGTTGGGAAACAAGATTGATAAAGATGGTGCTTTATCTAAGCAAGCTTTGACTGATCAAATGTAAGAATTAAGAATATTATTTATTTATTTATTTATTTATTTGTTTGTTTGTTTGTTTCATAAATTATTGTGAATGGATTGATGCAGGGATTTGAAGTCTATTACGGATAGAGAAGTATGTTGTTATATGATTTCGTGCAAGAATTCGACAAACATTGATTCGGTTATTGATTGGCTAATCAAGCATTCCAAATCCAAAACTTAAAAGTTTTATGAGTAATAAAAATATTTATTGTTTTTTGTTTCATGTTGTTGAGTTGGAGTTTGATAATCTTGATATGAAAAACAAATGGAAATTTCGAGTTCTTGTGTGTTGTATGATTTAGGTAATTGTTTTGTGAAAGTTTTATGTTGATTAATGTATAGATAATAGGAGCTTGTTAAATTTGTGGGATATGCTTTCGTGGATCCCTGTATTTTAGGGGTGTTTTGATTGGATGGATTGGAATGGTAAATGAATGGAATGAAATGATGATCGGATGGATTGGAATGGTAAATGAATGGAATGAAATGATTAAGGTAATCGCAAGAAACAAGGAAATGAAATGAGTTTTTAGTTATTACATTGACAAATTACAATAAAATCAATATGTTACCATAAAATTTCTATTTCAGACCGATTTTTTTTTTTTTTTTTTTTTGTCAATTATGTCACTATATTTACAATTTTATGCAATATCAACGAAATGATTAGTTCTCTCTGTTTTTCCAATAAACACTTTTCTCAAATTGTAATGAAGTCAGTAAGATTACTAAAATTTAATTTTGACATCGAGTTTCAAATTGCAAGAAAGTTAATAAATTACTACAAAATATTGATTTTTCTTCTTAATTATGTGGGTATATTTACAATTTTGATGCAATGCCAACCAATTGACCGATTCGGGAGATATTATTGTGGTTTAGAAGTTCGCTTTGTACAACAACTAAATAAAGGTTGATCAAATGGTTCAAACTCACTTACAAGTCAACAAAAGAGGCATAATCACCATTTTAGGAGATGTTATTGTGGTTTACAAGTTCGATTTGTACAAGTAAATGAAGACCCCTACAAGGTCGATGTAAGACCCCTTCAAGATCGATTTGTACAATAAATAAATGAATACCCCTAAAGGAAGCTTTATTTGTACAACAAATAAATGTAGACCCCAATAAATGAAGATCCCTACAAACTCGCTTCTAAACAAATTGACTGATTACCATGAATCTAGCAGTTTGTGCATCTCTTGGACTTTTGTGAGTATAAAGCTTTAAGCTTTCATTTTTCATTTGTTAGATCTTACTTAATGTCCATCTTGTGCACTTTTGGACCCATTTTGGAGGTGAGATTGGACTTATCATGACACCAGCTCCATTTGGTCACTTAGGATTGATGTTTGAAACTTTTAAACCTGTAAAGTTTGGACCTTTAACCCTTTCTTCAAGTAATGCAAGTCTTGTTGTTTAGGGTTTAGTTGGTCACTTAGGCTTGTTGTTTGAAACTTTTAAACTCATAAAGTTTGGACCTTTATCCTTTCCTTCAAGTCATGCAAGTGTTGGAGGTGTTTTTAGGTCTTTTGGAGTATAAAAGTCTAGATCTTGATTGATATGGTATGTCTTAATGGATAAAGTTGGAAACTTTATCCATTTAGACCTTCTTAGAGTTCAGATATAGAATATGGTTGGTGACTTAATGTATTAAGTCAAAAACCTATGTGAAATTGGCTTGAGCGCAACGCTTTTCTTGGTCATGATGCATTTTTAGGGTTTTCTCAACGCGTCTGTTTTAAGCCATTGAAATCGATAGTTTTATCCTTTCGTAGGAGTAGGGCACCCAGAAGAAGTGTGGCGCACTTTTTGACCAAAATGTTGACATTTTGACCTTTTTACCAAGTTTGACTTTGGGTCAAAGTTTAGGGTTGAGGTTCAGGCATGGAGTTTGACTTTTGATTACATGTTAAGTGTTTGTTGTTCCAACTTTCTCGTTTCTGCTACCTGTGGAGATTGTCTGATAGTCAATGAAGTGAGTTTTTCCCTATACTATATGTGACGTCCCAAAAACTCTAAGCAAAATTTCTATCTTTAAATCAACCAAAACCACAAACCATTCATTTCAAAACCATCAAAGTTTGTTAATATAGAAAATAGTTATCATACTACAATCATAATCATAAAAATGCAGAAAACTGGTGGATGGTGTGCGATCATAACGAGCCCTTCCCTTTCAAACCAGAAATACCTAAAAAAACATTTTAAACATAAACCAAAAGCATAAAGCTTAGTGAGTTCCCAAAAATACCACATATCTTATATACATCGCCATGAGCTACCTCCATTGTTACATCCCGTTTAAAATATGATAATTAAATAATAACTAGCTGGGAGATGGTTTCGAGAACCCAAATGACAAGACTTGAATCTCCAGGGGTTAAAGTGTAATTTTGAACTTAATATGCAAGGATTTATGGAAGTAGGGACTAAAGAGTAAATTATGTACCTAAGTTGAAAATAAATTGTCAAGGAGGGGCCATTTGGTAAAATATTAGATCAAAGTTGAAGGGATTTTAAGGAATCAGTGTTTAAATGGTAAATATTGGACTTTGTTTGAAGAGATTGGAATGGGAGGGACCAATTCTGCCATTTTTGTTATAAGTATGCATAGAGACGAGATTTAATATCCGATGCCCCCATGTTACCATAACCCTAATCTCTTTTTTAGTTGCCAACCTTATGCCTCCCATCTTCTAGTCGCCATCCTCACATCCTCGTCTTTTATTTCCGGTGTCACCGCCTCCTAGCCTTGCTAGAACCACCGAACATTGCCACTTTCGTAGACCAGTCAAAGTCGTGAGCCACCAGAAATGTTCCCCCGATGAGTGCCGACGAACCCGAGACGCGCTGAGAACGATGCTGGTTTTGGGAAGGGCCGATCGAAGTGCTCCAGTTGGGTCTCAGCGTTGTAACCGCTGCCATGCGACTGTTTCATCATGGGTGCAGCCGCCAGCTTCGTTTCTTCGATCATCGGATACCACCGCTCCACCGCCGACATCAAAGATGAGGACCACTGTGCGCTCACTCCGTTGAAGGTGAGGGTTGTTTCTGGACATCGGGGTTGTAGGCGTGTGGATGAACACGATGTACCACTGCTGCCGTCTCTCCGGGGGTTCTTCCGCCACCAAACGCCATAGGTGGGTGGCTTTGTTGCTTTTTCGGGCAAAGGGTGTAGTGTCTGTTTATTGTAGTGTGTGTGTGTGTGGTTGTATTTCTTTTGTTAGAGTGTTTTTTTCTAGCCGAAAAATCAAGATCAACCGCCACCACCACCGTAAGGTGGTGGCTGCCGCCACGTGTCACCGTCGGCCACCACTAGGGTGGTTGTGTGTGTATTTATGATAGTTAGTGTGCGTGCGTTTAGTTTGGATTAAAGCATTGTAATTGTAATTAGAAAAAAGAATAATGAAAAGAATCAAACCACCACCGTGAGCCGCTATTGACCACCACTACCCGAGGTGGTAGTGGGTGGTACCCCACTAGCAAAACCCTAATTGACCTAATGAAACCCTAATGGGCTTAAAGATTCAATTTTGGGCCTATTGGACCATGATTGGATGGGCAACCCTAATTAGGGTTTAGAAAACCCTAATATTGGATTATGGACATTGGACTTATTGGGATCCACATTTGGGCCATTGGAATTGGACTATGTATTAAGCCCGATTAGACCATATGATGTATCTAGTAGATTAGTGTACCTAATGGATTAAGTCCTTAATGGGTTAAGTGAGAAACACTTAACCCTAATTGTCATTTTATGTGAAACCCTAATTTCACTTGGGCCTTAAGTTGGGCCTTTATTTTGGGTTTTGGTGATTGGGCCAATAATGGGCCATTCAAGAACAATCATATGGACTAGAATAATTTAATGGGCTTAAAGGTAAGGTCCTTGTAAGGATTTTGGGCCCAATTTGTAAAATTGGGCCATAGGTGGGTCGTGGTTGGGCCTTGGTTCATTATTAGACTTTTGGACCTTTGGATTGGGTCTTGGGCTTGAATCAAGCTAAGATAGGGTAAAGCAGTCTTTACTCCAAGCATAGACTTATGGGTATATGTGATGGAACCCAATTATTAATTGGGTGTTATTTTGATATTGAAAAATTCGGGAATTTACCATCTAGCAGCTAGGGTTTTGTCAGTAGGACTTCAGCAATGTGAGGTGAGTTTTCCTCCAGTAGGAATGGGTCTAAGGCACCAATGTCGGTCGATTTATGTAGTAGCAGTATGCCGGGGTAAGCCCGATGTCGGGGTTAGCCCGATGCAGTTTATAGGTTTTCGGGCTTCGGTCCGATGTCGGGGCAGTACCGAGAAGTAGTTATGTATGCTTGATGTCTTTGTAATTCATGCATGTTTATGTTATGTGTTATATGTTCCGGACTTTGGTCCGATGTCGGGCAAGCCCGATGCAGTATATGTGATCATGTTATATGTTTATGTTTATGTTATGTTTAGTTTATACCGGACTTCGGTCCGATGTCGGGCGGGGCCCAATGCAGGGGGCAAGGTCCAGTATGTGTTATATGTGTTATTGTATGGTATGTGGTAGTTTGGGGGAGCTCACTAAGCTTCATGCTTATAGTTTTTAGTTTTGGTTTCAGGTACTTCCAGTACCAAGGGGAAGAGCTCGGGGTGATCGCATGGCACACACCACATTATTTCAGCCTGGGATTATTTGAGACTTTGATATTTTATCATTTGTTTTGCTACAACATTTTATATGATATTTGAGATACATGAAACTTGGTTTTCTTTTTGATTATGGATGGTTACGGTTTTTATAATGCTTTCCAAACGAAAATTTGGGACCGTATTTTTGAGATGTTTCATCCATGGTCTTGTATACTAGTGTCATAGTCTGGAGAAGGTCCTAAAACTCCCTCGCCGGCTGTTGAACCTCGATCACTGGCGCAAACTCAGCCCTGAATTTCATCACAAAATCCTCGCAAGATATCGTCTCAAAAACCTCGCCTCTTAAAGCATGGCCCACCTTCTTCCACCAATTGGGGGCTTTGTCTTTCAAAAAAACAAGATGCAAATCTGACCTTCGACCCCTCGGGGCAGAAGCCAGTTCGGAAGGGGTTCCCAAGGTCTACCAACCATCGTCAGCTAGCAGTGGGTCCTTCCTCCCAAAGAACTTAAGAGCCCCACATGCACGAAACTCTAGAAAAGTCAAACAGTGTGTACCCACCATAGCCATCATCTTAGTACGAAATACGACTAGACGCTCATCCAAAATCTCCACATGAATCTGATCCAGAATACCGCGAGTGATCTCTGGCAAAATGAACTCGCGCATCTGCTCATCCAAGGGTCCGGATCCAAAAGTCGAACCCGATCCCTCACCAGGACCTAAACCATATCGAGTGACCACCATACTGAAAAATAAACTATATAATCATCAGAAACACTCAAAGAATTTCCACACTTAACGATTTCCTTAGTATCCTCATGACTTTCCTTGTCTCGAGTATGGATCATGTGCTTTCATTAGTACAGAACCAATATTACCTTCTACACCTATTCACACTTTCCTCAAGAGCCCTCCCGATTCCCCTAAGTGTCTCCCTTACTGCCAATCATTTTCCCTTCCTGCTAAACAACACATCTGTAATACTAACATACTTCCAACATTCTCCTATGATTCCCTTCACACCACTCTCCGCCATCAGGTGCAGAAGAATCTCCCACTAATACCCACTAACTACCTTACAAATACAATTACATGCAATAGAAACTAAATAATTCTACGACTGAAAGGTCTTACACTACGATGGTAGGACTCAAACAAGAGTTGCGCAATAGACTTAAATCTAGCCTTCTAAAATTATCTAATTTATGTAACATGTAACCTAACATATTCGCTTGATAGATAATTAATACTAGTGGAGGCCCCTAAAAGCACAAAGTAGACAACATTTGAGCATCGAGTTTTAACTAGTGCACTACCTAATCAGACCACTCTATCATATCATCTTAAATACATACTAGCATGAAGTTCTAAAGACTCATACAATAGGAATACACAAGTATCACTCCTAGCATCCTATCATGCGTTCTGAGCAGATCCTTAGCCCTAATCTGGCATGTTTTTCACATATACACAAACTAGAACAAATAAACACATATGAGTATTTTGGGAAATACTTACTTGAGCTCAACCATTTGCACGCATTACACCCCTTCTTTTAAAAAAACTTTTTGGAAAAACTTTTTCTTTTTACTAATTCCTCAGTTTAAGTTCAGATACTCCCAGGGGTGTGTCTAAATCCCTCAAATCAAGGCTTTAATAGCAACTTTGAACATCCCAAAAGTTCTAAGTAAAAATTTTATCTTTAAATCAACCAAAACCATCACACATTCATTTCAAAACCATCAAAGTATGTCAATGTACAAAATAGTTATCAGAGTACAATCAAAATCATAAAATACAGAACATTGGTGGATGTTGTGCGATCATGCCGGACCCTTCCCCTTTGAACCAGAAGTACCTGAAAAAACATTTTAAACATAAACTGTAAGCATAAAGCTTAGTGAGTTCCCCAAAATACCACATACCATACATACATTGGGCTACCCCCATAGTCTTGCATACAAGTGTCACAGGCTACCCTCACGGTCTTTTCCTTGGAATGCCATAGGCTACCCCTAGGGTCTTACAACCAAATGTTGTGGGCTACCCCATGGTATTTCCTTAAAATGTCATGGCTACCCCCATGGTCGAATATCCAAGTGCCATGGGCTACCCCATGGTCTTTCATGCAATTATCATGGGCTATCCCCATAGTGTTTCATACAAATGTCATTGGCTACCCCCTAGATCTTACATGCAAGTATCATAAAGACAACTAGCATCATACATAGTATAGTGAGAAGATTCACCTTAATCCGATGATAAACAAATCACACAGTCGAGTTGCTACAACAAAGGCTCCTCACACTGAACATATCCAATACCAACCCTAATTATTAATTAGAGTAATAACCCATAATCAAAGGTCCATTTCATATTCTCCCTCACTAGGGTAAAAGTCCATTTTACCCATTCCAAGATGGACCTACCCAAACATGACCCAAGGCCTAAAAATGACCCAACTACACTTCTAGGAGTACGCCTTGCGTACTCCATCCTTATGCCCTACATACTAAGTGTCCGCAGAAAAAGATACAGGGCAAACCTGTTACACCTTGCATACTCAGAGGTTATGCCCTGCGTAATCCTGTGTTCTCCAAAACCACTTTTAAGCTCTTAATACCTAAAAACTAAACATCCAACTCACATATCTTAATCTTGGGAAGGTCTTAACTGATAAAGTCATCAATTGTAATATTTTTCATGGATTAATAGAGCCCAAGACCAAACCCTAGGTCCATAATAATCTTGAGTAACCTTAAAATCTTGCATTCATGATAAATGGAAACCAATACCTAATTTTTATGACACATGCTCCTTAGAAACAACATAAAGTGACAAACTTGAGCTCTGGGGTAGCTTTTACTCACAACAACCAAAACCAGGGGACCAAAAACTTACAAATCAAGGCTTTAACCTAGATCTAATCATAGAATCATAAAGTAAGAGCTTTATACCTCTAGAAGCTTGCAAAGGTGATGAAAGTTCAGGATCTTCAAGCTCTAAGCCCACCAATCCTCAATGATGAGCTTCTCATTCTTCCACAAGGCACCAAGAACACTCTAAAGGTCTAAAACAAACTTACAAGGATTGGGGTTTTGAAATAACCATTTGGGGAGAGTGGAGGGTGGTTATGAAGAGAACTCAAGGGACATAAGGTGTTTAAATAGGGGCTCCACCCTAAAAAACTAAGGTTTAGGTTCAGCTTGAGTGCGCCCTCCGTACTTCTTATGTACGCCCGACGTACTTCATGAGGTCTGTGTCCAAAATTAGTGACCTACGCCCAAGGTACACTCCATGTACGCTCAACATAAGGACTATGTATGCAAAGTTTATATATTTTGGGCAAAGAAGGGAAAATACCTGGAAAATGGATGTTACACTGTAGGACACAAGGTTTCGT